GATCCAATACAATTACAATTGGATGTCCGACTATGGTTGATCAGATCTAATTGGATCGGTCGGTTTGAATTGAATCAGATGACTTCTTATACACTCCTACAAAGAGTGATGCTATCACTAATCAAGCGTATTTTTTTTTATAAAATCTCTGCCTACCTCATCTTGTCATGTACCATTATGCCTTATTGGGGATTTAATGCTACAAGAAGCTAGTGTCAGTAGTTATATTTCATGTTTATGGTTTTGTTGTGTAGTTATACTTAGGGAATTCATTCGACTCATTTTAAGGTCCAGTTTATCCCTCAATTCTCTTTAGCTCTTTGGCAAGGTTTGGAAACTTCTTAACCAAATTTGAAGTATATTATGTGTTTTTTGTAAATAACATTATGTTGGTATGCAATTGAAGGTAATTCTCATATCAATTTATGTAAATTGCTTATCTCCATAAAAGTTAGATCAAAGTGAAATTCCGATCCTTATATTGATATACAGACGAACACACTACATTTATGCATACAATCCGCTTGATTTCCGTTTATATGATACTTTCAAAATATCACTAGACATAGAGACTAATGTAAGATGCAACTACTAGAATAGGGGAAAAGTTTGTTAGTCTTATACAAGCAATGAAACCCTTTCCCTTCAAAAGAGCTAATGTGCCGTTTAAAGTTATCCATTATGAAGTTGTGAGAAGTAAAGGAGGTTGTAACAACGTGTCTTGTCTACTATGACTCGTTGATTTAGTGACAATAATCTAACATTTTGGACTTTGAGAAGTAGGGATTGTTTCTAAATTTTGGTTGTCATTTAAAAAAAAAAAAAGTGAGTCCACAACCATAATAATACAATAGGTGAATATTGTGGCCAAAATTAAATCAATAGCTTCAAAAAGTATATTGGTACAATGGGGCTAATAGGTAAATTCCTCAAATGCCTAGCTACTCATATGGCAAAAAACAAATACATTATAGCAATAACAAGGCACCAACTATCAGTAGCACATGTTCACATTTAACAGAATGTATGTTTTAACAAATATTTATTTCGCTACAATATTGATTATAATGGGAAGATGGGTTGTCTTTTCAGATTTGGGACGACTAAGGATCCCACTTTTATTTTGATTTGGTGAGCCTACCAGTTGCAACACCGGGAGATCCTACGTTGTTGCTCTACCACCACAGATACATTGCTCATTAATAAAATGTCATTAATTTCATTGCCCATGGATTACTGATCATGTTTGTCAAATATTTATTACTTTTAAGTGTTTGAACTGCAAAAGAAACTAAAGAAAATTGAGACAAGCAGGAACTAGGAGGAAGAGTGGGCGTCACAGGATCAAGAGCGGGCAAGGTGGGAGGCCGACCTCGGGTTGCAGCCGCAAGTGGTGCGGGAAGCGCAAGTAGCTCTAGAGAAGCAGTTGTGGTCAAATTTTGAGGCTTTAATTTGAAGATTCACTACCCCTCCCTCTCCTAGTTAGTTGATATTGTTGTACACACCTTTTTTTTGTGTATAAAGTATTCGTAATTTTGTTATTCAATTTTTGTTAAATACTACATTTTTTTTAAATATGTACAAAAGTTTAGTAGATAATCTGTTGCTAAACACTTATTCTAGGTAATTTTTCGCTTAATCTAACCCTAGGTAATTCGTCGCTGAATCTAGCCCCAGAATAATAAGTCGCCGATTTAAAGTTTCCGACCAAACTATTCACTACTACCTTCTTGTGACAGTTTTGCGATGATGTCACCCTTTAGAGAAGGATTGTTACAATCATAGTCAACCATCAAAGTTACTCTCACACTAATAATCTTTTTAATTTTAAAAGATACAATTATAAAGACAGATTAAGACCATATTTTATAGTCATAAGATAGTTTACTGTTTGACCTTATTACAAGAGTCTCGTTTGAATGAACAAAATTAATCGATAAGCTAGCCTATTGGAAAAAGCTATTTGAAAAAGCGTTTCAACAAGTTTCAGAAGTTCCTTTTTCCATTTTTTCCTATTATACAGTGAATATTTTACCCAATCTTAGTTGAATGGTTTTTTTTAATAATGAACACTTATTTTGATACAAACTAAAATAAATATATAGACATTTAATTTGAGAGGGAGGGAATATCACTTATTATTTGGTTATTAATTTATAAATGCTAATATCAAATACTAGATATTAATTATCAACTATAATAAGTCATATTGTTTTTATTAATTTTTATAAATATTTAATTATTAATTATTATTAAACATATTATTTTTGTTAACTTTTATTAAATATTGTTAATTTATTACTAGTTATTTTTAATCATGTTAATTATTATTACTTATTTTTTATTTTATAAATAAAAAATAATCTATAATTGTTTTAAATAATATATTTAATTAGTGGTTTAGTTTAATTATATTACATAATGGAAGAATTAAGTAATTTTTTCATCATATTCTTTTAAATCATTTATATTTGTTAATTAGTTTATTAGGCAATTTTTGCTAGACATGACTAGTAATTTTTGTTCATATTCGTTTTTGTCATAAGAAAGTCGTTAATGAAATTTGATGGTTGTCACATAATATCCGGTGAGTTGATTCACCTTTTGTCCTTTGTAAAATGAAAGCGGTTAAAGTTAGGGCTGCACACGGATTGAGATATAATGGTCGGATTAAAGATATTTAACAACCCAATCTAATGTTTGCAGTTTGAAAATATCAAGCCAACCGAGTTATTTTTTTTAAATCCCACATACACACACATAGACAGACAGACACACACACAGAGGTTCAAACGAGAACAATATCCAAATAAAGAACATGAAAATGGTCAAATCATGTATAAAATCACATGTGATTTTACACTAACGGTCAATGCAAGGATGTACGGGCGAAGTAGACCTTAGGCCATGGCCAAAGTCGCATGAATCATATGTGATTTTACACTTGATTTTAGTGTAGAATTACATGTGACTCCACCGGTTTCTTATTAGTTTATTTAGTTATTATTTTCATATGAACCTGACACTCTCTCTATACACACACACAACATACTTGAGATTGTGTGAAAATAAGAGTTATGATAAAAACGCGAAAACATATATAAACTCCATTTACCTTCAATTATCTTTGTTGCCCTATATTTAATTAATCACCATAACTGAAGTTTCCATAGTTTTATGCATATGAAAGTGGATTAATGTATGTAAAAGTTGATGATTAAGGTTGATGGAGATAGTTGAAAGTAGTTGATCTGTGTTTTTAGTCGGCAATCAATTAAAGGTAGTTGAAGCTCCAAAATTTTTTAGCCCTTAGATAAAAAAAAAAACACATCCAATAACTCCTTAGAAGTATTCTCACTCAAACCCAATCTTAAACATAGAATAACAGTGTAATATTTTTCACATTAATTATTATTTAATTAATCTTTAGCATTTATTTTGTATTTAATATTTGTTAATATTGTAAAGCATCAATTAGAGAGTTACTACTTATATAATTAAATTCCAAAACGTTTTTTTTTTAATTTGAAGATAATAGATGACTAACAAGATCCTATATAACCACTCTTCTTATAGATTGAGAACACAAGTACTTACAAAACCACTTCTTCATTTGTTTGAAATGTTGGTTTTTGAAACCAATAATACAGCCATGCAGAGCCTCTTAGCCATCGTCTTTTTCTTCGTCATCCCGATATTTTCAATCACTTCTGCAACCGTACCTTCTACAAAATTAGCTTGTATCATTTTGCCTAGATGGCATGTAATTGTAATCAACAACGTATATGAAGATATCATACTTCATCTGAAAACACGCAATGATGATCTCGGGAATCATACCCTTTCCTCTAACAATGGTATTTACGATTGGGAATTTTGTGAGACAGGGCAATCAGACTATTATGGTGAGTTCTGGTGGGGTTCTAAATATCAAACTTTGAATTTGTATGATACTCATGCTTGGGAGACATGCAAAAATGGAAAGTTTTTTAGTACTGAACATTGTTACTGGTTAGTAAGACCGGAAGGATTTTATATAAGCAAGGAAAACACGCCTTTTCCTAATGAAGGTTGGCATCTTGAAAAACCTTGGGGTTGAATGCTTGTAACGTCTTTGATTTTATAAAAGAATATGATATATTAAATAAATACATTAATTGAAGTTTAGTCGTTGATCAATTAATTTCTTGTTATATAAATATATCTATACCGAGTTTTATTCTTTAAAATGATCCGTGGAAAAACATATCATTTAAGAGATTATGTGGCATTTAAATTTTGTCACGCCCATAAGACTAATCTTCTGGTTCTTAAAAAGTTTTAAAGAAGCTTTTTTACTTTAGTCAAAAAGATTTCATATATAATAGTAGCTAAAAGTTTTATAGAGGTTTTTTTTGGAGGATACATACATATGTATATATAGACTTGGGATCATGTGAGACGAGGGGATTTTTGTGAGACACGGAAGACCAATTCTCAACCCTTGGATTAGATCTACAATCTGAACATTCATAATCACAAAATTGCCACGAGACTTCTCAATAATTACAAAATTGTCATCGTGCAATTTTAGACCATTAGCTTAATTATAAAGTTGATCAATGAACATAAATTGGTCTTTCAGGCTTTAAATACACTTTCAAAGTTTCTTGAAAATATGTATTAATTAGTGAGACATTTCGAGCATTAGTGAGGATGTTCAAACTTCAATAAAAGGTCTAATAAGGGCAAACCTACCTTCAAGGGTATGATTAATTACCTAACTTTAATTACTCTTTTATTAAATAATTAATATCATATTAAAAAAATAATAGACCGTTTTATTTCAAAAATGTCTTAAAAAAGTCATTACAACGTTCAAGAGTATCTTATAGATTTATTGCAACATTTTTACATATAATGACAGTATAATTGTTTGGTACACTTGGACATTTTGATATCCTGTAAACTTGATCTTGTTGTAACAAGATTAACCATCAAATTAACAAAGCAATTCCCATGGAAAAATCTGGATTCGAGGTCAGAAAATATAGGATAAATCGAGAGGGTAAATGAAAATGTGTTAGAAATCAGTCATATACATGCATGCAATGCACTGGTTACCGTATATATATGCTTAACAACTAAGTTACCCACAACTGTGTGTTTCTTGAGCTAAAAGTTTGAGGCTTTCTATTCAATTCTTATCTTTTGCGCTTGGAATTAGAATTGGAATTGGTATTCCAGTTTCTCTTCCTTTGATTGATGAACCAATTGTTGATTTGCTTGAGTTGTAGCCCTGTTTCCTCCACCAGCTTCACCTTGTCATCTTCCTGCTCACCGTTAAATCATTAACATCATACTTTAAATGGGTTGGGTTCCGGTAAAAACTCTAAATTTCGTGGGAACTATAGGAACCACTTTGTTACCAGAGATTCGGATAAGTTAACATCCTCGTATATGTTATGTTAATGCAAGTTTAACATTTCATGTTAAGGTATTTAACGTAGGTGAACCTATGGTAACAAAGTGGTTCCTCCAGTTCCAACGAAAAGTAAGAGTTCTTACTCCATCCTGATTCTAATTTGTAATTGATTATATATATGTGTATATATACATATGTAGCTTACAGTTGGGTATGGCCATTTGGAATGTTGTTGCCACCAATCTTTGAGCACAGACGTGGTGTCACCAGGTAATTTTCCTGCTCTTCTCTTTCTCAATATTTCTTCTCGTACATCCTCTATTTTTGATCTGAATCCCTGCATATACATGCAACTAAATGTTCTTAAAACCAATTGACCAGTAATATGTGCATCGATCAATGGTTGTAGTAGGGATTTATCGAGTTTAAACCTGTTTGAGTTCGATTTTAAGCTCTTGACGAACTCTGTCCATAAGAGTACGTTCAGATTCGGTAGGATGAAGTGGACCAAAACCCAACACATCACCCGACTGATCCAACGGAAAATTCATCGTCATCTCATCTTCCTCGTCATCCGACATTGTTCCTCCTGTCCCTTCTCCCAGCGTTACTCCTGGAAATATTAAAAAAAACACTTTTTCTTTTCAAACCTAATACTGCATTTATTATATATATATATTTTCAGATTCGGTATGTTTATCATGTTTGAAAGATTAAAGCATGCTAATATATATATATATATATATATATATATATATATATATATATAGAGGAGTGATCAAATAAAAACCGCCCTCATTTGTGTAAACCATGCAAACCACCTTCATCCGTCGATTTCATTGTTTAATCTTATGAAATTTTTTCATGAAATTGTTTAATCTTGTGAAATTGTTTCATATAATACTTTTTTTGATCAAGTTGTTTCATATATGGTTGTGAAATTGTTTCATATAATACTTAATGAAACTGTTTCATGTATTTCTCTAAAATTAATGAAACTGTTTCATGTATTTCTCTAAAAATTAAAATAATGAAGATGATAATATCTATGATTAACACCCTCCACAATAAAAATGATTAATCAACCTCTCATAATTACAAAAAAATGAACAAAATGAAAAATTATGATTGGTTGAATGAGGTTTGCACGGTTTGTACAAATTGAGTGGTTTGCATTTGATCGCTCCCCTATATATATATATAAAATATTATACTCTCTTTTGAATATATGTTACGCTTGAAAAGAATGTTTTGGTCATGTGTATAAGGTCAAGTAATGGGACATTGATACTGATAGTCATACTACATGATACTACATGATACCCTAAATGATGCAAGGAATCAAGATATGTACCAAAAGGGGTACCTCTTAGCTTGACTGGTACATGGTTAGCAAGTTGAAGGCCCCTTATACATGACATGACATGATCATGTCAAATATGACAAATGTTTATGTTGCCTCCACGAAACGAAAATAACATTATGCACAAAATGACACCTCGATTGAAACCATAAACTTACTGAACTTTAAACTAACTAGTAGTATGTGTCTCAAAAACACGAAATGACATCTCGATTGAAACCATAAACTCACTGAACTTTAAACTAACTAGTAGTATGTGTCTCAAAAACAAGCCATGTTAAATGCAACAACACAAGGCCATGAAGTGAAGAAATGTCTTGGAGACCATTATGGTCTAGACTATATTATGTTATATTGAAAATTATTATGTAATTCAAATTGTCAGGTTTAAACTTGTAATTGAGGTGTTTTAAGTTTTTTTTTTGTTGCAATATGATATCGATGATTATGATATCGATGTTTTCAGTCGTTATTGACCCTAAGGAAAAATGAGGTGCGACACCCTCAAATTGCTAGGTATCTAGCTCAGCAAAATGTCCGGTTAGTACAATATTTGGATAAGCAGATGTGTTGTCCTTAACGAGTGCGCGCAACTATTCATGAAAGTATGGTGTACTGTTCATAAAGATCATTATGAATCATCATATGATAAATAAATAAAAAATAACTTTGAGAGAGATATAACATTATTCTTTTTACTAGTTCTTATTAATTCTTCTTACACAAATACTAAATCACAAAAGTGTTTTCCCTCAACCCTTATCTGACATAACTTGGTATCAAACCCAAATCAAGAGAAATTTATATGTTTGTGTCGATAATAGTGGTATTGATTTCAAACAAAGCAAGTTTACGTGGTGAAAACTTCTTGTTCATGGAGTTCTATACATATTGTTGTATATAGTATTTATAGTGAGATTTTGTCCCATATAAAAAGGATAGTGAAATCTTACTTGTATTGTGAGCTTTATATATATAAGTTCTTAACGAATCACTTGTCCAACAAAGGAAGTGTAATCAAATCTTCCTTATTTTATAAGTTCTACCGTCTTATTAAGTTGTTTAAGAGATTAAATGAGCTAAGGAAATTTTAGATTTGCGCAAGTGTTGACTTCCCCATGATAAGACTCTCCTACAACTTTTTGTGTGACTTAATCCACCAAAAAAGTCGCTTTACACAAACACACACACACACACACACACACATATATATATATATATATATATATGTGTGTGTTCTCTCATCATTTTAATCTAACTCTCAAGCCTCTCCTTCTCTTCATTAATTTTATGTAGAAATGTTCATTGAATCACATGTTTAGTTGTTGAACTTGTCTGATTGATTAGAGAACCCTTGGGGTGTATTAGGCGTAAACAACCAATCTTGATTAATGGGGGTTAATAATATCAAAAGGACAGTGATAAATCGTATACTAATTATTGTCTTCGCTTCACTTTTCTCCTATTATCTTATTTTCTAACATATATTAAACAAATATATAATCCATTTCACCATATATATAACCCCTAGACTTCTCTCAGTCGGTGGTGTCGCTCTACCACCGATTCAGGCTGTGGAGCCTCATTTGTTTTATTAATATAGAGGCTTCGATTGATATTCATAGTTTTTTCCCCAAAGATGTTCTTGTATTTTGTGATGGTTAATCTCTTGTTGATGAAGATGAAGGTGAGCAAGAAGAAGATGACAAGAACGAAGAGAGTCGAGAGGCATAATTTTTCTAAACTGCCATATCGTATATATCCAAGAATCAAAATGCCCTCATATGAGGGAAAATATGTCACTTAACAACTGAACCATAACAATCGTTAAAAAAACTACAAAGTAACATAAAGAGATTTATTATCGTAAAAAAAAAGTTCCTTTTATTCAATCTTACAAATTAAATATTTAAATTATTATTCTACAAAAATAAAAAGGTTTCTTAATTATTTTCAAATTTCAATGACCCAGTATAAAAATGAGGCAAAAAATAGTATTATTTATTAAAAAAATATATAACTTAAAAAGAGAATTTACAAATTTCCATTTTTGATTTGAAGTCCTTCTGGACCACATACGCACCACGGTGCTTCTGGATGATCTCATCGTGCCAGTCTGAAAAGGGCTTTTCGGGTATTCAATTCGCAAGGTCAAGTAGCCTTCTAGATGTATCCACTTCACTTTTGTATTAATTTAGGAGTAAACCCTCATGGTTTGTAAAAAATCCTTATTTTCCTTCTTATATTTTTTTAAAGTTACGTTCATCGTCTATATGATTTGTAATTTATTAGTATTTACTTTCATCTCACAAATTCCATTATAGTTTGTTGCTATTTACGTTCATTTGCAACTTTGTTTTTTTTTTTATCCATTTTTTTAACTTTTTTAATAGTTTATTAATTTTCCTTTTTTTCCTTCTTTTTTATATATAGAAGAGTAAATGCCAATGACCCTATCAAATCAAATCAAACATCTTTTTTCATCTCTCATTCATGTGAACAAACCCCGTAAAACCTTTAGCTTCTGTCGATGAACATAAACGAGAGCCATAAAGGGGAAATGGGTGGGAAAGCAACAAGCATATACCATCATTCGTCTCTTGGGTTTCTTTTGGGCAAAACTCAAATAGAAAAAAATTGTATTTAGACCAATACTTTGAAGTTCATATTAATCAAAATCCAATGGGAACAAAGAACCATCTATGTATATGGGTTGAATTCGGTCACTGATGTTAATTTGTATCAGTCAAAACCCTTAAATTGAAGACGTCAATCATTGTTTAATATAGATTAAAAGGTAAAAGAACATAACGCCCAAGAGTTCATGCCTGAAATTTAACGCCGTTAACCTCAGAGACGAAAAGTAAAACAAAATAAAAATCACAAGGCCAAAAAAATGTATTTAAAAAAAAATATATGCTAGACACGCTCAATTGGGGGAAATTTTTGAACAATTTCAACGAAATCTTTCAATACCTTTTACTATCGTCCGACTGTTACTGATGCTTTAAATACAAGGATAAAAGCAACAACTCTTGGCATACCACACCGACAAATCGAAGCGTACTCTTGATTTAATTACTAATGTCGCTCGTATTAGAAACTATATTATAGTATATGGTCTTAATTACAACTAATAAAATGACGAATAAATTATCTCATATAATTTTGCCATTGTTACTTTTTATTAACGAACACTTCAATCCTAAAATGTAATTAATGGGTTGGTTTGAAATAAATAGACGGTCATTAAATAAATAAAAATAGTAGGTGGTGATGGTTTTGTTGAGTCCACGTCTGTTCCCTCCATCAACCCAACTAACTCCACCTTCCTTCTCCTCCTAACTATACACACACACACACTATATATATATATATATATATATATATAATATTAATACATAATTCAAATAAAATACTAACGAATATTAAATTAATCTTTTTTAATGAACTTGTTCATGTCCAAAATTAACTTATCAACTGCGGAAAACGAAGTTTCGTGTCTGCCATTTAGATGATTATAACAGACACACCAATTAAGATGAGTGAATATGTCTAAATAAGTACATATATGTATCGATATACGTGTGAATATATATATATATATATATATATGCATACACAAATATAGAAGAGGAAGAGAAGGGGGTACCAGTGATAGCTTGTAAGTTGTGTTCAATTTCACGGCAGGCCATGACAGCCTCGACGGCATCAACTCTGACATGGTGTTGCAGGCGATCTTTAAACGCACATAAAACCACCAAATACTGTGCCTGTTCCATTCAATGAAAAAAGATGATGAATTTATCAAAAAAAGAAAAGAACATGAAGAGCAATTCCAGAAACATACCAAGAAGCTGTCGAGGTCGCGACGGTCTTCCGGGGAAAGAGGTTGGTGGTGGTGGTGGTGGTGGTCGGAGATGTAAGAGAGGAGGAGATGGTTCGCGTGAGAGAGTTGCGAGTCGATAAGTGGCAGTTGATCAATAGGTGTGGCAACCCGAAGACACCCTACATGGGCGGAGAGAAGTTGTTGGTAAAGAGGGTGGTTGGCTATCTCCACCTTCATCTGGCGGTGCTGATCAGCCGAAAGGGACACCACCATATCGGAAAAGCCACCACCGGTACCCACCGTAGATAAACCTTGATGTTGCATATTAATTATCATGAAAGGAAAAACCCAAATCTATATTTGTAAGAAAGCCCTAAATTTGGTGTCAGAAATGGATGGAGATGATTCGAAGAAAAGGGGGTTCTAAGAAAGCAAAAAGAACAAGTGGGGTTTTTGAGGACCACTTGGACTTTAAAGAGATATACGGCAATGGCGGATGGCAGCAACCCCTCTCTCTCTCTCTTGTTCAGAGGAGAGAAGAAGAGATTGGTTTATGGGGATCAGGGACGAAGAAACTTTTTGGGTCGCTTGTGCCAAATTATTGTACAATAATTGATTTATCCCAGCAAAAAAGTCTAAAAAACCCCACTATTTTTCACAGCACCTTATCCACTAGATTTACCAAAATAGCTCTAAGTCTAAGTCTGTAATTCTAATTTCTTTTCAAGATTTACCAACAGAGATAAAATGTGTAAAAGAAAATTGTAATTTTGCTCGATCCACAATTATGGAGGTGGGTTTTCCGCACAACTATGACTATTTTAATAAATTTAAAGAGAAAATGACTAGAATGTGAAACCAACCTTCAAACAATGATGTTTTTAATAAATTTCGCTTTTTAATATCATATGAGACGTGGGAGTATTTGTAGCTTTCAAACTTGTAGATGGTGATTATTTTTCTATGCCTCTTAACATTCAATAATAATCGTGTTTTATAATACAACTAGAAGAGTATTCGTGCAATGCATCGAGACACATCTCGATTTTAGTGTTTTGTTTTAGTTTTTTCAATCGATATAATACGGCTTTTATGTGGTTTTAAGAAAGCGATAATGTTTTTATTTTTAAATAAAATATAAATTTGAAAATATTATAAAATTTTGAAAAAAAAAATATATTGATGTTTAGAAACTTTTTTTTAATTCTTGTTTTTGGTGTAATTTTCTTAATTCAAAAAAAAATTATTATAATTTAATTTAGGTTTAGTAACGAAGTAATTTAATTTAAATTTAATAATATAATTTTTTATAAAGATAATAACTAAATATTTTGTTAGAACTCAATGATTATCCTAATTATATTTTAGATTTTTTATATTTAAACTGAGATGTTTATCTAGTATTTGATTATGCTTATCTAGAGTTAGTTACACAAATTCAAATATGGAGCTTTAATAAGTTGTATTTATGCACAATTTATTTGTAATCTTAAATTTTAAGTAATATGCATCAATAAACAGTACTTTGTGGATAAAAATAATTTTTAAGAGTTTTTATCAAATGCTATATATATATAATATAGTATAGATATTAATTAGGTTATTTTCTATTTTTGTTTTAAATCATTTATAATATTATCTTTATACCTAAAGAGCGGCATGTTCAAAGAAAATGATACAAATGTTGAAAATAAGAGAAAGACAACAAAAAATTGGATGAAAAATTATAAATTAATGCATAATTAAATTGACATAGTCTCCATATTTAAATGAATGTAGGTAATAATTTGCATAAAAACAGTGTAAGAAGTATTTTTTAATATACTAACTTGTAACCATATTTTCTCCCTTATTAAATACATATTATTTTGATGAATATTACTTATATTTTTTTATTAAATAATATAATTCTATATATTGTAGAGGGCTTTCCAGGTGTTAGGGAGTATATTAGAGTAGTTTTGTAGGTTTTGCCTTCCTAAATTAGCTTAAAAATAGATATGGATTAATGGAGATGTTTAATATATATTGGTGTTTAAAATAATAACATGATATAATTTGTATGGTTTTAATTTTGGTTATATTAATTTGTTGATTGAAAAATAGTAGATGGATTTTGTTTATAATTTTAAAGTGGATGTAACCATTTTTTTTAATTGTAGATGTTGGATTATCTTTTCTGACGGTTATTTGTTTTTACCTTTTCAACATTTTTGTTGTTTTTATTTTAGGTGTTTTAACAAGTTTATAGGATATTTTTGAAAATAAAGTGTTATATTAGTTTTTTTTTTTCATATTTTTAAGAAGTGTATTATGAATAAAAATTTTATACGACAATTGTTTTTATAATACATTTATAAATTAATATCATCAAAAACTAATATGACGCTTTATTTCAAAAATGTTCTTAAAAACTTGTTAAAATGTCTAAAAACATCATATCAACTTATTGTAACATCTTTAAATTACATATAACACAATTGTTTGGTATCCAAGAATTTATTAAGACATATTTGACATCTGATAAAACCCATTAGAATAAGATGATAAAAAAATATGTGAATTACAATCATATTTGGGTTACCTTTCTCCCCGCTCCCCCTCCCGTTTAATCAATTGGCAAGAAGAAATCCATAAAGAACTTGTTGGGTTCTCCATAGAAGGGGGTCCAACTTTTTGTTCTTGAATGCAAAAAGATGAATATTTAATTCAAATTAATAAAAAAAAATTGGGCTCAATCTGAAGAGAGCCTCCGGTCTAGCACTGTACAAATATTCTCCAAACATATATATCATATATGTGAGGACATATTGTGTATCAAGAACGAAACAAAAAATGGATATAGTTGAATGGTAAAATTTCTCGTTTATTTTATCGTATATCGCATTAGATAAGTTTTCTTATATCTATTTTAACAGAAAATGCATATTTATGTGGTTAAAATGTTGTGAAGGTAACCTTCACAGTGTTTTTGCTGTGAAGTTTCAAGTATAAAAATATGGTCTCACAGGTCTCACGAAAACATTTTGGTCTAAGTTGATTAGGAAAAGATAGTATTTGTTTACCAACCGGAATATTGTTATTTATTTATTTAAATAATATTAAGAAGGATGTCTTTTTTAGGTTGGTTCATGATTGGAGTGCTTGCTTCCCTCTTTAACAAACATTGGTTGAATCTTGTGGTGGCTACCAAATTCCTCAACTTTCGGTGCAACAAATTTATTAATTTTTTTTCTATCAATTTAAGTTTCATCATAAAATTAAAAAATGAAATAAAAAAAGTTGTAATTTCAGATAGAACGGTGAAATGCGTAGAGATCGGAAAGAACACCAACGGTGAAATCACTATGTTGGACCAACACTGACATAATATTCCTTCTATTAGGCTATATGGATCTAAGTTGTCTTTATAAATGAAGTTGTACGATACATTATTTTTTGATTTTGTGTTGGATAAACAGACTGAATGACAAAGTTACTTCTATGTTAATGTGTCTGAGACTTAGGCCAAGGAAACAATCATACATTCATCAACTGATTTGGTCATTTTTTTTAACCATGCCTTGATATTTTGGCCACATACAAAGAACATTGAACTCAAGCAAATTCATGAAGAGGATCCAAGTCTACTAACTGTTTTGGTTATTTTCGTTTGACCAGTCAAAGTTGCAAATCTTAACCAGTCAAAACCGTAATTCTTAACCATATGAAGAGCTAAAATCACTTTTTCGGTTCACAAATAAAAATAATCTAAAAATAAAAACAGAATAAGGAAATCATAAAATAAGAGTTGACATATATATTTAAGGCAGCATTGCATTAAAAGAAACTCATAATAATAATAAAATAAAATAAAAGACATGAAACATTTGTGGGACAAAAAGTAGACCGAAAACTGTGGGGTCTCTATCAATCCTAATATTTCCACCACGTGACCTTTTTTTGTGCTGCTTTATTTCTCATTTTGTTTTATTTAATGTCTACATAACATATTAATCTATTCTTTTTGTATTAATAACTTGTTTACAATCACATTCTTCAATAATTTTCAATCATCGCTAAAACAAATCGATAAGATTATACCAAGTTAAATGCCAATACGATCAAATGTTATACAGAGGCTCGATCATTTGCAATTCTCACACACCAAATAATTAAAATCCCTTTGTGGCTACGGAGGTTCAAATGCGGTGACCCCGAGCTATCTGCAAAGCAGGTAGTCGTCCTGAGATTAGTCGGCTTGCATAGCGGTTGGATATCCAGGTTAATAAAAAAAATTGATTTATTAGAGAGTATTTCGTGTTATGTTTGATGCTGGTAGTACTTTGGGAATATAATAAATAATTTTTATCTAATTTTGTTAAAGCTCTAAGTTTTGATTCTATCAAGAGTTATTGATTTACGATGGTGAGAGGCAAATCGCAGGTTCGTATGCGGCAAGTGGTTCTCTCGATTGTGGCCTTCTCTCTTTGGAAATTTACGTTGCTTGCATCTTCAAAAGGGTAAATTTTTTGGGAGTAATAAGTCATTGCAATGTGCAATGTGCTAAGAAAATGTTCATCATTGCAATGTGCTAAGAAAAAATTTCGCCCGTAAAATTAGCGTTTATCTAGAGGATACAACAACCGAATTCAAGATCGTACTTGAATCTAGTGAATCAAAAGATGTTTGGTTAATGGATTTGAGTGTGAAATAAGAGAGAGAGCCAGAGAGAATTTGTCCAAACTTTTGCCCAGAAATGATCCCACACTTATATATGTACAAAACTGTTAGGCACGAACGGAGAGTTGATGCGTGAGTTAAGCCACGGGAAAACATGCGTAAGCCACTTTTTTAGAACCCAAAATTCTAATGAGGTAGGCGACCTTCTATGCGACTTGGCTCTCAAGGTTAAGGCCCATCTTTTGACCTTTAATATGTATATGTAATATGTATCAAGGAGAGCCCACTATAGAACACCTACCACCAATGACCAAACTCTTAAATGATTCATTTAATGTTCAAGAGTTGATTCTTATTAAGTGGGTTAATTTTACACGAGGCTCCGTTGTTGGGCAAAGTTTCTCACGTTAAGCCAAGTTCCAACAGGTTCTCGCCATGATCTTTCTGGTGACATCTTGTTTCAATCCTTCTATTTAATTGATTCCAAGTTTAAATATCGGTCTTTTGGGGATTTGGTTTAATTAATCATTCCCTCTTTGATATCTATTTTTGTTTTTAGCAGATTTCCTTAGTAGAATTGTTGTATTTTTTATTTATTTATTGTTTTAAAAAAACACGCCTCCCTTAAATACAAGACCTTACAACCCATTAAAACGCACGTGACATGATTACACGCATTGTCACGAAAGAGACTCACCACCATAACACAAAACAATCATATCATTTGAATTACAAAAATCATACCAAATAGTGTTACCATTATTTATAGCTTCTAAGTGAATTCAACGATCATGTGTTAAAAAAACACATTTTACATGAATTAAAAGGATGCTTGTACAATATATCGAGAAACATCTCGATTTCAATGTTTCTTTTTATTCTTTATTTATGTTGATATGATATGGTTTTATGTGGTTTTGATAAGACGATAATGTTTTTATTTTTGAATAAAATATACATTTAAAAATATCATAAAAATTTGAAAAAAAAAATATATCAATATTAACAATAAATTAAATATTTAAAAGTTCTTGTTTTGTTTAATTTCTTTGAATCAAATTTTTTGTTATAATTTAATTCAACGTAACGAAGTGATTTAATTGAGGTATAATAATATAATTTTTTATAAAAATAATAATTAAATATCATGTTAGAACTCAATGATTGTCTTAATTATATTTTAAATTTTTTATATTTAAAATTAGATGTTTATTCTATATTTGATTACGTTTATCTGCAATTAGTTATACGAATTCAAGCATGAAACTTTAATTAGTTGTACTTACACACAATTTATTTGTAATCTTGAAGTTTAAGTAATATGCATTAATAAACAGTATTTTTTATATAAAAAATGGTTTTTAAATGTTTTTGTCAAATGCTTTATAATATAGTATAGACTATAATAAGTAGAACAATCATGTGTTCTTTTTAACGTATCATCATCTCATTCCAAATTCAACAAGCAAATGAGATAACAACAATATTGGCATTAAGTTAATAATTTTACCACTCTAGAGTCATGTCATTTAAATCTTAGTAATTTGCAACCACCATTTCTAGCATTCAAGTAACTTTAGAAGCTTCTAGAACCAGGTAATTAACCAAACAACTCTTTAAAATGCATATTTGCACAAACCCCGTCAGACAATAGCCTTAAATCTTTTGATGTATGTAACTTCCAAAGCAAGCATAGGGCTTAATGAACTTATTCACATGATTGATAAGGGTGTGAATAAAAGTAAGAAAAAACTATGTGAATGTGAGTAAACTAGCATATTTTTGAGTAGTGCTACTTCATTTACAGCAAAAAGAAAAAGAAAAACAAGTGAATCTGATATCACAAAATAAGATTTAATTTGTGGGATATTAAACCAAGTTGAAAATATAATGCAAACATTTACAGAACAAACCTCCAGATTGGAAATATCATCCTTCACATCACAATGCATTTCTCCTTTGATGATTTTGATTCCTGCTTCGATGATGATGAAGATGAGTTCCTGGGCCTTGAAGGCTGCACATGCTGCAAATAAGATTGTTAACCTCATCTTTCACCATCTTTACTGTTACAAATTTACAATCAGCCAACACAGTTCAACAATTGCATTTGAGGGAGTGGTGGCTTTTTCAAATATCAATTATAACCCTCACTTCACTTTTCATTGCGACTGATTGGATCAGAAATAAGTAGCCAGAAGTGAACAATTGGACTCAATTATGATCAAATCATGAAGATTGTTCTACAAGTAACTATACATCAATAAGCATTTATATTTAAGATACCAAAACCAAACGATCCCAGTATATTCCACCTGGCTTGTGAAATATTTATATACAAGATGACATGTATAATAGTGTATCCATATAAACCACAAATTTAATTGTTTATAAACTAATAATGTAAATAAAATACTCCCTCCCTCCTTTCCAAAACATGCAACAATTGACTGCATACAGGGTTTAATGGAGAGTTGTTTACTAAATCCGCAATGTAACTTTAGCCATTTGTCAATTTGACAAACTACAAAAAATTGGCCAATTTTTACAACTATTGTGGCAGCAATAGATTGTTGGCGTTTAAGTTAAAGAAATATATGGTAACCAGCATCATACTAAACATTTAGACCTTCATGAAATGAAAGTGGAACAAAATATAAGAAACATAATTAACAAAAACATGTCTAGATAAATAAGAGCAATATGTTTCATTTCCAAGAAACTGGTTGTTTTCTACCCAGAAACAACACTTATCAGCAAGACATCCTCCCATTGAAATCAATTGATCGAAGAACTATAAACAATGAAAAAGGTTTTCAATACTCAGCAAAGCATGATCAGCATACCTGTTTTCCTAGTTTCCTCGATTTTCTCAATTTCTTGCATTCCTCTTTACACATAAGCAAGGGTAAACCCCCTTTATATAGCTCTGCAGAAATCTGAGTGTGCGTATTCTACAAGCCATTAATCAATTGTTATCTTCTCTCTCTCTCTCTTTGAAATGCTTTCAATTAATTTCTATATCTAGACAAATATTTTGTTCTTGTAAGATGGTGTTAGATTTCTAAGGCCTCTTTAGCCTCTTGAAATTAGAAAAATACTTCTTAAGATTTTAGGTTTTTCTTTACCCTGCATTTTGTCTGTGTTCTTGGGACTTCATTTTGTTTTCTTCTATTTTAGGTGATCTTTGTTAGGGTTTCAAATGGTGAGAGGAGACTAAGGTCGAATAGACTGATTTTTGTCGCTCCAAAAGATCCAAGCAGTGAAAAAAAAAACAATGATGGTGTCGTAATATGTTAAGCTAGAAAACAGCTTGAGGGCAGGGAAACAGCTCTTGCATCCCCACTCTTCTATAGATAAACTCCTCCCTCTTCTTGATGTAAGCCCACGAATAGTTTTTTATGCATTTGTTTATTTTGTTAATTACTCCCTCTTTTCCAGAAAAGATGGATTTAATGAGATGAAAGAAATTTAATTAGATATGACAATTTCTTTTCTTTTTCTTGAACATACTTAAATAACAGCAAGGCAGATCCAACATTCCATATAAGCACTGTCACAGGAAAATTTACTAAACACAAGTTATTAAAATAGTAGTAAATTTGCCTACTTTTTTGTATGTTTGTGATGTATACCGAGAAAATCAAAAAAATTGTATTCAAAGGAAACCGACTGCTTCTCACTAATCAAATGCTTACAAAGGGGTTTTCTGGCTTTCGAGAGGCCAGAATCTCTCCACATGATGATTCACGCCCAAAAAGTATTTTATCAAACAAAATGCCCTTCATGTCCCTCACTCCATTTATACTAACCCCAGCATTACCTACCTGTACCATTTATGCATTACCAACTTCTACCCTGTTTACCCAGCTTACTAATATGACTTTCTAACCCTCAGGGTATAATAGTTTGTCATATCAGCAAATGGCCAAAAGTTTATAAGGTTTTTTGGTAAGTAGACCAGGACCTATGTTTTAACTACTAATCAAAACAAAATAGAGGAATCTTTTGGACCAAAATCACTGTTATTAATATTGTCTAATGATTAATAATTTGAAAAGAGGAATTTAAGATTAAAACCTTGCTTATGTCAGAAATGCTGTATTAATTCTGGGACGTCCAAAGAAGAAGTGTTAAGTGCTTGATTGTTAGTTAAATATATCTTATAATCCTCATGTTCACATATCAGAGAATCTTGCCATCAATTCCTTGTAATGATCACTGGTGGCAATTAATCTGGGATTAAAAAATTGCACAAATAAAAAAAGACGTGTCGCATCTAATTTGAGAGAAACCAAATAACTAAGTATTGCATTTTATCTTGGAATACCTCAAAAGCTATAATTAGTTCAAGCTCATAAACTACAAAGGCTGTTCTTAGCTCTAGGCTTAACCCCTCTAAGAAACCTACATGCCAAACCAAAAATTGCATTATTGGTTATAACCTTGTCTGGTTAAGAACTCACTGTTGGAAATTCTAACTACGTAGATGACTTTTTTATATGTAAAGTTCTAGCCGGTGATTTTCAACATATATAATAGCACATACCAACACTTCACCTTGCACATATTTTTGCGCAATTCAGCCATAAAGCAAAAGTCATCTGAAAGAAGAAATATAAATCAGAAATTCAGTCTACCTGGGGACCTGTAACAAGCCCTGCCTCTCCGCTGGTATTTGGTTGTGGCAAATTGCGCTGTGGCGGCGCCTGCTGCTGCTGCTGCTGCTGTTCAAATTCTTGTTGCTGAAGAGCTATAGCTAATTGCAGATCAGAGCTGCCATAAAACACCAAAAACATCTTAAAACTTGTCTTGATGTAGGCTTCATGCAACCTAAGATGTTTCTAACTTCCAGGATAAATTCCTTGCAGTTTTAAACGGGCAAGGCACAAGAAAAGAAGGGAAAAATGCAAAACCAAAAAAATGTCAACTGTAATTCATCCAAATTAGTAGAAATTTAAAAGCATAATTTCACATTTGAACACTTATTTCTAGTCAATTGACATTATCCTATTAGATAAAATCATTTGGGCATAAAAAATCAACATACCACAAAAGGATATTTCTAATTCGTCTGTCCCATAAAAACTTGCAGCATTTTCCTTTCCGGATGTCGCAAGAAAATTGCAATATTTCCTTTCTTTAAGTTTTCATTTTAAAAGTATTTATTTAACCATTAGTATTGCTACAAACAAATTAATATATATTAATCTGAATCTACAAGATTCCTCTATTTTGGTCTTTGTAGAAGGCATTTACATATTTGGCAAAGAGTCAAACAATTTCATTAAAAATATGAGTGAAATCAAATGTTTCATTTTTCATGAGATGATGCATATATCTTTGTTCTTTTATGAGGCTATATCTTATATACCGGAAGGAGATGACAGAACAAAAGGTAGATAATTACTTAAAGCTGGTATTCTCTTGTGCTGCATTGTCGATGCTGGAAAGATATTCCTGAAGTGCAAAAACTGAAGTAAGATTGACACAAACAAATGAAGATGTACAGCATCAATCTAGTATAGATACATTGTCATATACAAAAATGGTATGGGGGGTATATATAAGAGAAGCTACATACAGCAGTATTAGCCAATGCATTCTGCTCATCCCATGAGCGAGCGTCATGATTTTCTGCATTGAATTCCTTAAAATTACTGGTCATAAACACTGTATCTCCATTGACCTGAAAACACATATATTATAAGGAATTAAGTATTGATAACTGAAGAATAATATGATCTTATTTAGTTGTACATATTACAAGCAATCTCCTAGCTATATACATTAAATAGTTTCCTAATCTTCTCAGGTATATACAACATATTAGAAAACAAAATGGTTTGGTTTCCTATGGGAATAATCTGGTTAAAATTCTACTCCCTCAAGCTAAAGCATATAGATTCCACATGCCCAATTTGCATAATAATTCTTCAAAAGGTCTACTGTGAAAGTCCTTTTGTTAATAAATCAGCTTCTTGTTGTTCCCTTAGTATGCCCACAACACATAGTTCCTTTCTCTCGGTTTTCTCTTTAATAAAGTGGTGATTTCTCGACATGTTTGTTTTTATCATGGTAAACAGAATTGTGTGCTATGTTGATTGCTAATCTGTTGTCACCGTACAACTTCAATGGATAGGTTATTTGAAGTTAAAGTTCTTCAAGTACCTGTTTGATCCATATTAATACACATACTCCTTGACAAGTGCTTTAAGTTCAGTTTCAACACTAGTGGTTGGTTTATACTCCTCCCAAGTAACTAAGTTTCCCATGATTTAGTGCAATATCCAGATGTTTGACCTCCTATCTCCAATTGATCATGCCAATCAGCATATGTGAATGCTTCTACACTTCTTTGTTCATTTTTAACAATGGTTGATTTCCCAGTGTTTTCTTCAGATACCATAATATCCAATAGTAGTCCATTTTCCCAGTGTTCTCTTCAGATACCATAATATCCTACATACAGCTTCCATGTGTTCTTCCAAAGGATTATGCATGTATTGGCTGACAAAGGTGATAGCAAAGACAATATTTGGTCTAGTATGCATATTAATTTTCCTACTAGTCGCTGATACATTCCTTTATCAACTTGCTTCTCTTTGGTTTTCTTCTTATATTTTCCTTTTGCTTCCACAGGTAAGCACACCAGATTCTTTTAAGTAAATCCATGGCATACTTTTGTTCAGATACGAATATACCTATTTAAATCTTGCAATTTGCATTCCCATAAAATATTTCATTGGATCTTTACTTCAAATTGTTGAGCTAGTAATTTCTCAAGTCTTTCCAACTTATCAAGATCATCCAAATGTATCATCTCAACATAGACAATAGGAATAGCAACCTTACCATCTACTGAATGTTTGAAAAGTAAAGTATGATCCATGACATACTTTCATTGAGATATTGAAATCCCATGTTCAGATCTCACAATTTCAATCTGCAAAAAGTATTACATTGAACCAAGATCCTTGACTTCAAGTTCTTGAGCTCATAAATTCTTAAGTTTTTCCAATTCATCCAGATCATTATTACCTGTTACCATCATATCATCAACATAGATGATATAATAACAACTTACCATCTATTGAATGCTTGAAAAATAAATTATTATCTGACACACCTTGTTTGGAACCATACTTCTTGATCACATGATTAGAACTCTAAACCATGCACGTGGGAACTGATTCAACCCATAAAGAGATTTTCCAACTGGGAGACGGTTCTATATCCGTTTTTTTTCCTTCAATCCTAAGAGGGATTTTCATGTTCATTTCTTCCAAATTTCCATTTAGGAAAACGTTTTTAATGCCAAGTTGTTGCAAGGCCCATCAAGATTAGCAACTACTGACAATAAGATTTTGATTGTGTTTAATTTTGCAACCGGTGCACGTCTCTGTATAATCTACTCCATATGTTTGAGCAAATCCCCTTGCCACCAATCTTGCTTTATACCTGTCGATAGTTCCCTCGGCATTGTCTTTGACAGTAAACACCCACTTGCATCCTACCATGTGTTTGTCTTTTCGTTGATCAACTATTGTCCATTATTCTTGTTTTCTAATACTCCAATTTACTCAAATATAACCTTCTTCCATTCAAAATTTAAGAGGAACTCGGTAATGTTTCCAAGAATAACCACCTGATCATTTTTTGCAATGAAGGCTTAACTTCGGGGTAAGCTTGTTGCAACACATATAACTGATATTGGATGCATAGAACAACTTCTTTTTTATTTATTTTATTTTTTATTTTTTTGATTAACCTGGATATCCAACCCGCTATGCGAGCCGACTAATCCCAGGGCGACCACCTGCTTTGCAGATAGCCCGAAGTCACCGCATTTGAACCTCCGTTGCCACAAGGGGATTTTTATTCCTCCTTGGATTTGAACTTGGGACCTCCTGGTACTTTTGACCTTTGGAGCCAATCTCAAACCAATCAGGCACCACCCTTATGGTTAGAACAACTCCTTTTCTTCTGGCAATAGGTAGCTCTGTTTCTAATACACCAGAAGACTCAAGGTGAGGAGCAGAATCAAGTAAAATAGGAGTGACGGGATCACTTACACCAGGATTTGTCACAGGTTCAAACTCATGATGAGCTAGATTCGTAGTTGACTGTATTACTTGATGCTATTTTGGTGCTTTGAATAAACTATCATTTCTGGATTTCTTTGTCTATATGTTGTCTTTATCTTTTTTGTGAATGAGAGGTTTCTAAATTACTTTTCCTTGATTAAGTCGATCTCCTGCTACAGATTATGGAGACTATTATAAAATTATGTTACGGGGAGATCTTGTTGTTGCTAGCCCCAGAGTTTGGGTTTGAGTTCAAACACTTGAGGAAAGTTCTCAAGATCAGAGTAGGCCTCTTGAACAGTTCCCCATACTTTATGAACAGCAGAGAGAAATAAATGATTTCCAATATCCACCTCCATTGAATTGATAAGCCATGCTTTTTTTCAAATGTTTTCACGTCCCAACTTTCATCATCATTAGCTTTTGGATAGGAGTATTGCACACAACCATTGCCATGAAGATACAATGCCACAGAACGTGACCATTGCAGCAAATTTTAACCATTTGGAGATATGATTGGGTCTTGAGGGAAAGATCACTTGTATCCTTTGGAACAAAGGAGATGACGGAATTGTCATCAGAAAATATGGGAGTCCTTGCTGGTGGCCATGGTCAATTTTCAGTGGCTGAAAAGAGATACCATGAAGAACGATACGATCGTATATAGACTTGAAGAGAAAAAGCCTATAAATAGGCATATTAAAGTTTCAAAACACTATATTCTAGTAGCTGTATGTATCACAAGCAATCTCCTGGCTATACAGATTAAATAGTCGCCTAATCTTCTTAGGTATATACAGTGTATTAGGAAATAGAATAATTAGGTTTCCTTATGGAAAAATACTGAATATAAACAAAATATTCTACAATAACTATATGCGTAGACAGTCTATATAGGATATCTCATAGTTCATTGCTATTCAGCAATGAACACTTATGCATGATTTTAACTCCAAATCATATCACACCACATGTCAAGCACATTGAAATAACACAAATTGACATTTCCATTTGCTCAAGAGATTCAGTAACAGGTTGAATATTAGCAGTCTCAATTAAAGATTCTCAGCAATCAAATCAAATAGATGATTTTATTTAGCTAGACATTCTTAAAAGCTCACAACAACAAAGATGGACAAACTATACCTCATTAAGCTTTTCCCATACCAAATCAGGTTGATTAATATAGCCTTGATCTGTAGCTAAAAGGTAAAGTTCACCCTCAAACTGCAAATAAGGTCATTAGGTAATCTCCAAAAGTAACACTTTTAAGGTAGTCAAGAATATGGCAGTGCACAACATTAAGTTATTAATAAGCTACACAGTGCACCTCAACCAACCTTGAACATTGTGTTGAAGTGGTTATTCCGAAAAAACACACATAGTTCACGTTCTTTAAGACCTTCTTGCAAGGAAAATAAGCTGCAAGCATAGAAACAGCAAAAGGCAGGACGTGTCTAATAAGCAAGAAAAATCACCATCTTGTTTATAACAAAAACATAGAAGTGTGCATGCATCAGTAAACAAACATACCCATATATAGTCAGCTGACTTGCACTATTCTTCAGAAAATTCCTGATCAGTTCCCCTAATTAAAAGAACTAGCAACTTAATCGATTGCTGCACGGCAAACTTTTCTAAAAGAAAACAAAAAACACTCAAACAGTAGGTGTACGGTAAGCTCCTACCTTGTTGTGGAGTAATTCCATCCTTGGCCTTTGTCTCATCTGCACTACCACTAACCTTGTCCACTTGTTCTGCTAGAACCACCTCACCTTCATACATGGGCTCTCGATTTTCATAATTTACAGTGCTCGTTTCCTGTATGTGTTCCTCGCCTTCGTAAATGGGTTCATTTCCATCAGCATTTGAGGTTAACGACTTGGAATCATCAATGGGTTGTGCCATGTCCTTGGATGATTCCAAACCTGCAATAGGTGCAGATGAGCATGAGACATCCAACGTCTTGCCGGCACTTTCAACATTTCCTACTACATTTACATCATTGCTCAGAACTGCTTGACCCTGTATCTTTTCATCACCAGAATTATGCACAAGGGTATTGACTGGCGGTGGAAGATCTGATTCATCCAAACTTTCCTTGACTTTTTCAGATTTGATCAACACATCAATGCTAGCTTTCTCAATTTCATCTTTGCTGTCATGCTTTTCAGATGATGCCTCTATTTGGCCATGAAGTTTATCATTGTCACTTTGTGAAGAAGAACACACTTCTTGCCTTGGAACTATTTCAAAAGGTTTCAAATCGCCATCATAGTTCATCGTATTATTATCATCAGCTGTGGAAGGTTTTTGTGGACAAAGCTCATCATTTTCAGCACCCATATGTACTTCCCCTGGAACCGCAGGTTCCTGCTTTTTGAGATAAGAATCACTTGAACATTCAGAAAGGTTATTACCAACAGTATTCACAACATTTACATCATTTGCTGTAGGTGAACTTTCAGACTCTGATAGCTTTAAGGCTCTCAATAGCTCTTCTTCCTCTTCAAGGTCTCCTTTTCTTTCCTTTTTCTCTTCAGATACAGAACGGGGAGAATCATCAAAAGATTTATCTCTGGAAAGGGATGGTGAAGGGACACCTAAACTTGCTGTTGTTGCAGCAACAAAATCAACGGAATCTTCTTCAGAGTTCTTCAAGCCACTTGCCGGATTTTGAGTTTCAAGGGCAACAAGTTCCCCCATGAGTGTATTGTAGGACTTCAACCCAATCGCACTAGATGTATCAGAGTCCTGTACAAATGCACAGATGCTTAAAAGAAGAAAAAGAAAAGACAAGTAAAAGAAGATCTCCACAAGGAAACATAAGTAACTACAGTTACAGATCACAGGAGAAAACAAGTTCAATAACATTACTAGAAAGATAATAATCCAGTAAAAACCAATATTAATACAACATTACCCAGAAAATGAAGGGAAGAAACAAAAGGGCATGACAAATAGCACGCAAACACGACATGTGTCTTCATAAAGTACATTGAATTTTGGAGATACCCCGTAATGTTCCTTTCTGTACCCAGATAAGGACTTCTTGCGATCTACTAAGAAGAAAAGTACTTGTAAAGTACTAGAAAAATAATATCGAGTTAAAAAAATAAAGATTCATCTAAGAATATTCAAAAGAGAAGAGAAAAAACATAACAGAAAGACCAATAGCAGGCATGTTGCAATCTACTAACAGGAAAAGCACTTGTACAGTCAAAGGCACCAATTATATCCAGCTATTTTTCATAGTGCAATGCTTCCACCAATTCGTTTTACCTATACTAGAAGCAGGGGCAGACCTACATAGACCAATACGGTGGCCTGAGCCACCGCTTAAAGTTGAGATAAGGTTTCTCTCTTAAATGTCAACCTCAAACTTCTCCAGGGGAGAGAGTCATCAGTGAAGCAGAAGTGTGATGCACTGCGATAGGATGGAAATTGGATGATTATATTGATGCTACAGCTGCATCCCTGAAATACGACTACCAATTTATGCTATGTCAGTTAAGCGTATACAAACTATTATTTCCTCTCTGCCTATAGGCTTAAGCATTTGGGCATGAAGCACTGCAATTCCCTTAATATCACAAAGCCACTTTGAATAACACACTAGATATAATCAATCACAATCATAAGAAAACAAATGAGTAAGAAGAATTGAATAGAACCTATGATTAATTATAACCTTTAATGGTATTGGACATGCTTGTATTACATGCTGATGTTTACATGGGTAAGAGAACATACCTGGGGATCAACAATCCAACCATGGTAAAGTGGTATGTCCAATAGATCAAATATCGCACACTCTCTGGTGAACTCAAAATCATGAATTCTGCAACAATTTGAAGGAGCAAATAAAAAAAGAGGCAACATCATGTACCATGATTTGAAAAGATAATGCAACCACTACTAAATGAGGACACCCACATTTGCATGTGTGTGCATATATATGATAGAGACAGAGCTGAAGAAAAAATAACATACCTCGTGAATTTTATGTTCACATCAATTCCAGTCGTAAGTCGAGGGAGTAAGTCGATGGCATCAGCTATGTTCTGTTGTTGATTTTCAACATACCCTGTATCTTTATTCTGTAACCAAATTAAAACAGATCGAAGTCAACCCAAAAAAGAGATACAAGAGCAGTTTGTCCAGTAGTTGGAAGTGTTTGATGGGAAATTAGATAGGAAAAGTTCGATAATCAAACTCTATCTTCTACTCTGTCATATTAAGTGCCAACAATGTGATCAAACAAACAAAATAAATAAAAGATTACATTAACATTGCTGTTTGAATCAATTAACCGGTCTGCCACAAGTGAAAGCAATTTCTCCTGTGATACTTCAGCCACATCCGAGCTCAGATTCAAATTGTTTCTCAACAGGAGAACATTACCTACCACAGATTGCACAGATTGATCAGCAATATGCAATTTAAAACTCTATGTTCCAGTAGATCAATAAAAACATCACACAACCAAGAAAACAATTGTGTTACAACATCCAAAGGGACCTAAATGACTGATAACTGATTAATTAATATTTAAAGAAGCTTAAGATGCTCTACGAAATCAAATTTTGACATAGGTTAAACTAAATGCAGGGAAACTGATTATAAAGAGTGCAATTTTATCATTACTTTACCCCGTATAAAATGAGAAAAATATTACAATATCATTTTTTGACAAATGGACTTCAATTGAAATCCACTCCTATTCACCAGTATGATAAATTCTTAAACTTCAACCACCATTCAGGCCTAAAAACTTCAGAAAGATGTCCGAAAGTGTCTGCAAATAGAAAAAACACTGTTCATTTCATAATTAACAACTAAAATATCCTTCAAGAAAACACCAAGGATAATTGACTCCTCTAATTCATCGAAATTTTCCATAACACCAGTCTAAATGCTTCACATCACTGGCAAAAAGCATCTACAAAATTAAACAAACTGACGATCGTTTCCTAATTAACAGCTAAACACACTGTTCTTTGAAAAAGAAAAAAAAAAACTCTTACAGTAAATTTAACAAACCCTAAAAATAGCTAAAGGAAGGTAGACGATTACAGATAGCGAGGAGAGGGCAAGGTCCATTATCGTTCTGAAGGATAATCGGAGTAGTCCTCCCCAAGAATTGAATTAATTTCGTCTTATGTAACATTTCTTTGGTCGTCGGAGAATCCTCCCGATTCCGCTGCTCTTCCGGCGGCAAAGCCATCTCCGATGAACGTTCTAGTGACTTCCACCAATAGGTATATACAGAATAGTATATATGTACATGCGTGGGTGTGTTTTGGGGGAGTCAAAGAGAGGAAAACAACACGGTTGGAGACGATGAGATGCAAAAAAAGAGAATCGGTTGACAAATTTATATATGGAGGGAGAACTCACAGAAACTGTATGCTATTTTCGGTTTCAACAAAAAACATTTGTGTCGTATTTTTATTTTATTTAATTTTAAGACCAATAAAATCAACATTAACCTCCATGTTGGTCCTCCAGGTTTATTCAGAACTTTGAAAGTGGAACATGATTTTTGATAAGTCTAGAAATCAATTTTACAATTTGTAACCATAAGAGCGATGTTTGATTGGTTTAAGCTTGGTTCCAAAAGATCAAAAGTATCAGGAGGTCTCAGGTTCAAATCGAAAAAGGAATACAAATCTTCTTGTTGCAACGGAGGTTCAAATGCGGTGACTCCGGTCTATCTGCAAAACAGGTGGTCACTCTAAGATTAGTCGGCTCGCATAGCGGGTTGGATATTCAGGTTAATCAAACAAAAAAATTATGATTTGTATTTTGGTTTAAAAATGGTGTTGGACACAACCTTTTTAAAATAAAGATTTTGAGTCAATATTTTGCTCTAACAATTTCTCTAAAATTATTTTCAAAATGAAAAAAGTATGAGAGATAAGTTGTTTCTCCAGATATGAAGAACACCCAAAAAGTGATTGTCAATTGAGACCATCAATAGAAAACTTTGAAAATGAATTTTGAGAGAGAGAGAGAGAGAGAGAGAGAGAGATATATATATATATATATATATATATATATATATAATATTTTAATAGATGAATGAAAAATTTTAATATTACAATCAACATTGGATTCTCCAAAATAAGGAATTTGTTGGAGATGAAAATATAATTTTTTCTAGAGATTTTGACTTTTTAATTCTCTATTTTAGAGGAATCTATTGGAGATGTTCTAATCCAATTACAAATTATCGGTTAAAATGAGAGCATTTTTATTATTTTATATATTTCTTTAACTTTTTTCTTGAAAAAACTAAAAAATACATTATATTATATCATTAATATAAATTATATATTGTACAAGATATATATACACCAACGCATATGGACCAAGAACCAAAACCACCTCTTGATTCATGTTTTATTTATCGACAAGATTGATCTTTGTGGGATTTTTGGAAGATCTTTGTGTGTTTTTTTTTTTTGTTCAAACAATCCATGGAGATGAAATCGAGGGTAAGGGAGATGGGGTGCAACAAAACAGATCGGAAGAGGAAGCTAGTAGACGAAGCATATGATTTTTCGCCAGTGTTTTCAGTACATGATCTAAGTTTGATTTACAGTTTTGGATTTTGATTTGGAACTTTTTAATTTAGGCTTTAGGTATTGACATAGACTTTGTGTTGGATTATTGATTTTCTGACGACCGAGGGGTTGCTGACAGTGATTGTTAAAGAGAGACGACCGAGGGGTTGCTGACAGTGATTGTTAAAGAGAGGGGATGTGCGGAGAAAATGAAAGGGGGAGGGTGGCTCGGACAGGAGAGAGAAAAAAGGTTTTGGTTTTGGTTTTTTTTTTTCTAAAATGTTAATTATATTTATACACCACAAGTTTCATATATTTATACGTTAACATTTTTTTAATGAAAATAACATTTTTTAGATACAATTTTAAAAGGTCAATTATTTCTCTGAAGAGCATAATAATAATATCATTATTATTATTGTTGTTGTTGTTATTATTCATCCATATTTCAACTTTATATGTATATAATTATATATTATTAGAAAGGTATTCGCGCAATGCAACGAGATACATCTTTATTTTAAAATTTTATTTTATTTTTTATCTCAATTGATGTTATAGTAGTGGTCTTATGTGATTTTGAAAAGAAAAAAAACGATAATGTTTTTTATTTTTGAATAAAATAAAATTTTGACAAAAATATATCGATATTAATATCAAGTTAACTATTTAAAATTCATATTTTTTGTGTAATTTTTTTATTATAATTTAATTTCGGTTTTATAACGAAGTAATTTATAATTGGTTTAATATTATAATTTTCTTATAAAGATAATAATTAATTATTTTGTTAGAACTCGATAATTATCTTAATTATATATTTTATATTTTTTATATTTTAAAATGAGATGTTTATCCAAACATGGAGTTTTAATAAGTTATACTTATGTATAATTTATTTGTAATCTTCAATTTTAAGTAATATGCATCAATATATAGTATTTCATTTATAAAAAATTGTTTTTAAGAGTTTTTGTCAAATGCTTTATAATATAGTATAGATAAATAATAATATTAATCAACGAAAACAATATAAAAATCTCAAAGCAATAACTTTTCATACATTTATAATATAAAAGACAAAGAATTTTCAAAACATTCTCCAACATTCAATCAATCCATAAATTCATTGATTTCTAACACCCTCCCAAAACTTTTTGTAAAATTTGATACTCAACCTATCACTTTTTTTTTTTTTTTGTAAGGGTGTCCGGGCCAAAGCCCGACTAATCCCCGGCAATTTTTGGAGGCTAAACATGGCCCCACTTAAATGTCGCCAACACTCCCCTCTCAGGGCTCGAACTTGGGTTCATGACTATGTCATGCCCAAACCTTTACTACTAAGCTGGAAGGTCTTTGACTGCTCAACCTATCACTTACCATCCATTTTCTAATTTTTTTTATATTGTCTGCTCAAGTAGAACCATGTTTGTAACTTTGCATAGATGACGAAGTCTCATCTGATTGCGAGGCGTCTGCAAAGGTGATAGTCATAATGCAATAATTTCATGTGAATCGCTACAGATGTCAATTTCCCTCTTTTATCTTATTTACTACAAGTCAGTAAGCCTAAGTCATCAGAACATTTCATTAGAAAACTGAATATTTAAAACCTAAATATAATTTCAAGTTTAACATTCTCCTATTAAAGCATCAAAAGTGGCATAATATATTAACATATCTCCTATTAAAGCATCAAAACCTTCAGCTAACCTTTTTATACAACGTTCACGCTCACATGAAGATGTAGCCATTTCTAAACAACTATAAAACATAAAAATAGGGCATACTAAAACATAATGTCAAATACGATAATAAAACATGTTGTTAATATGGCATAATAAAATATAATGTCAAATACAAGATAATAAAACATAATGTCAACATAAAAATCCAAAAACAAGTACAATCATGACAAAGTCTATCTACTTCTCCATGCATTAAACATATTGGTA